GTGCTGAAGGACCACTGCCTGGTTCTGTTTGGACAATCCTAGGGATTAAACCCAGGCATGTTTCTAATTTTCCATCCTGGAGCCCTTTAACTTTGTGATTAAAGCAGGAACCTCCCTATGTAGCCCAGGCTGGCCTTGAACTGGCAATCTGCCTACCTGTGCCTCCCCAATGCTGGGCACACAAGCATGTTCCCCACACCCAGTGTGGGTTCCTTCCTGTGTTTGTGGTTCTGAGTGTGTGGAGGGAGAGACCTCCATCCCAGCGCCACCTGCAAAGGCTCTCTCCGCTAACTCCGCAGTGTAAACATGTCCTCTGAGCTTCCTGTCTTCCTTCCCTGTCCTATTTCCGCCCCCCCCCCCCCGGCAGCACCTCGTGCCTCCTGATACCTGTGTTTGTCACCTGTTTCCACAGCAAGAATGCCAGCTCCGAGGGAGGGGAGAGTGAGGCTAGGGTCCTTCATCACTGCCACGGCCCCCGGGACTTGGCGCGTAGTAGATGTTCAATAAACATTTGCAGAAGGTGCGGCTGGGGGACCGGGCGTGAAGCAGGTCTCCGTGGCTGAGGAAGTGCCTGAGGAGGAAGGAAGCTGTCCTGCCCACCTGGCACCTGTGGAGGAATGCTGCCCAGAGGAGGGGTGGGCAGGATGCTAGAGATTGGAGGAGAAGGTAGATGTTCAGAAAGCGGAACATGCAGCTGGCAGTGGCAGGCCAGGTTAGCGTATGAGACTGGGGGCCTCTCGGGGTGTGCAGCCCAGGTGCTCTTTCCCAGGAACTGCCCCCACCCCCACTAACACACACACACACACACACACACACACACACACACCCTAGGTAGTCCCTGGGCCCAGGTAGAAGTCAGAACACACATAAAGGGCAGCTGTCCTGGAGTTTAGGGGAAGCCTAGGGCTTTGATAAGGTGGGTAAATTTCAAAGGGGCTGCTGTGAGGGGGGCCGGGCTGCTGATAGCAGCACCTTAGCTACCCGCAGTCCCTCCGCTGAGGTGGCCTCGTGACCCAGCCCCTCCAACGAAGCAAAACAGGCTTGATTGTATTCTTATCGGACCTGTGGTTTCAAAAGGCCCAGCAGGCCGGCTGGCTCTGCGTCAGTAGGGGAAAGGCAGCAGCCAGCTCCCCGGGTGAGAACATGACGCAGGCCACCACCTGCACCCCCTGTGAGGCCTGGGGTCCACCTGGTGCTGGGGCAGGGAAGGAGGAGCAAACGGACGCCACACCCCAAGCAGGGAGGCCCTGGTGGTGGCTGGGCGTTGGCCCTGTTCCACGCCTGGCTCCCCACCTCTCACCACAAGTTCTGTGCCTCAGTTTCCGCACTGAGATGAAAAGGAACCATTGAGACCACTGAGGGTGCTTGTCTCCAGGCTTGGGAGCCACGGTGCAGCAGCTGGCTCACAGCCAGTGTGCTCAGTGACAGGCTTAGCCGGGACAACCAGGGACAGCAGTGGCCTGGGCCTCAAGGCTGCACACTGTGGCCCCGCGAAGTCCCCTGCAAAAGGTAACCATTCCTTCAGATGGCCAACCTCAAGGGGACTCAGCAGTTCCCACCTCCTCACCGGCTACCCACCATGCATCCCTTCCCTGACTTGTCTACCGCACCTGCAGGCACAAACATCCCCTCTTAGCCATTATACTCTTCTGCTGTGGGTACCCAGACCTAGCTGGAGGCAATGCCCGAGGAAGCTCAGTGCCCTGTGGAGTAAAGAGATTCATGAGAACCAAGACCGGGCCAGGGGCAGCTGTGGATGCTGTCTGTCTGTGTGTCTGTCCCTGCTCCCAAGCCCAAAGCTTCCCTTGCCTTAGAGCTCATCTCTGACTGCAGACTTGCCTGGACCCCTGAGGGGTACCTCTTCAGATGCCATCTTGGGTGTGAGCAGGCAAGGGCATTGGATGAAGTGGGAGAAGCTGCAGGGTGGACCTGGGGTGGGCAGCCAGGTCTGGATGCAGGGAACAATGACTCTCTCCTCGTGGAGCGTCTCCAGGTCTCCAGGCAGGGGAGTACATGCTGGGAAGACCCTGGGCCTGGGGAGTGGATCCCAGACAGGACAAGGACCAGAACTGTCACGTTTTCTAACTGTTCACAGAACCAAGAGACCCAGAGGTGGCTACCCTGAGACTGAATGCTGGGGTTGTCTGTGCCCTCTGAGGCAGATGCAGAGGGACTTTGGCTGCTAGGTCAAGCGCAGAGGAACACATGCTAATCTGGAATAAGCAAGGAGCCAGGTATGCCTGGGATACAGTGTGACATGTCCTGAGTGTGAAAACGGTCACTTCCTGGACCATTCCTGGTCCCTACGCCCCCTACCCACCCAGGCACAGCCTAGGCCTCGTATCCTGCCACATCTCAGCCCCGACCCTGAGCAAGCCAGTAAGCCTCTGCCTGGCACCTGTGAAGGAGCCACATGGGGGGTGACCCCCAGGGCACAGACTTGTTGGCATCAGTTGCCTGAGTCAGCACTCGTGGGAGCACAAATTGGGTTCTGGGTTCAGACTTCAAGCTTACTGTGTGGTCTTAGGCCTGTTCCCCAGCCTCTCTGGGCTCAGGATATCTGTCTCTACCACATCCACTGGATAAGTCCTGGAGTCTCATGAAGGAGGCTTCCTGATCATCCCGTCTTTCCCTCGTGGTCCCATCAAGGTGAGACAATCGGGCTCCTCACTTTAAAGATGAGGCTGCATGCCTCCAGTAGTTCTGCCTTCTTGAAGCCAGAGCCTGGGACTGCGGGACGTGGCAATCCCATCCCTCTGGTGTTGGAATGGACCCAGACTTCACTGTTATCACAGACTGAAGTTCCTCAGAAAGCCAAACAGAGAGGACGGGAGTTCTAGGAGATAAGACAGAGAGCATTCCAGGAAGACAGCTGTTCGCTGATAGACGGACAGACAGACAGTCCTTCCCAAGATGTGTGCACAGCCTTTAAGTTCAGGCAGTCCCCTCACTCACAGAACACCTGGGACTCACCCCCATCCCACCATTTAGCACAATGTCACTGGCACCCTGCCCTGGACCTCAAGTCCCATCCAGCTCAAGCGCTCCCCACTGGACTGACGGGTGGTTAGAGGGTCAAGGTGGGGAGGGTACACCAGTCAGCTGCCCCGGACCTTATCATCCTGGGTTTGATGGTGCCCTAAGGGAGTAGGCCAGAGGTGGGCATGCTGAGAATACAGGTAGGGGGATTGCCGAGATCAAGGCCAGCCTGGGCTACAACAGGAACCTATGTCTCATGAAAACGCACACAGAAGCGTAAAAAGAAAGAAAAACCAAGAGATAATTAAAGACTAAAGACTGTGGGCTGGGGGGCTGAGGGCACAGCCTCAGAGAGGGTGATGAGGAGTCTTCCAAGCAGTAAAGTCGAGGAAGAAGTGAGGTGTGGTAGCACACACCTGTAGTCCCAGCATTCAGGAATCAGAAGCAGATGGATCTCTGAGTTCAGGTCAACCTGGTCTACTAAGAGAGTTCTAGAAGAGCCAGGGCTACACAGAGAAATCTTGTCCAAAAACAAAAAGTGTAACAATAAAATCTTAGGTGAAGGGAAGCCAGGCAGGTGGCACACCCCTGCGATCCCCGCACTGGAGAAGGTTCAGTCTTAGCCACTCCTACAAGTATAGGGCTAGCCTGAGCAATCTGAGGCCAGCAAACAAAAATGAAAGTATGCTGGGCAGGCTGCTGCTTGCCTTTTAGGCTCAGCGCTCAGGAAGCAGAAGCAAGCAAATCTCTGGGAGTTCAAGGCCAGCCTGGTCTACAGAGTTCCTGGCCAACCAGCTGCACAGTGAGATCCCATCTCAAGAAAACCAAGACAGATGCACACAGGGACAGCGAGGGACCCAGATGTGGAGGGGTAGAACAGGGAAGGCATGGCTCTCAGCAGCCGCCTGAGGTCTGGGTTCATCGGCTGCAGTGGCCAAGGAGGTTGAAGAGTGGCCGGCCTTGGGGAGCAGAGCAGGAGTCGGGAGGCCTGACGTGTTCAAGAGTGCGTGCAAGGGACCTGAGACTGGATCCTGAGGAGGGTCGGTCAGGACACTGGGTTGTGAGTTTGGATCTGCCTCATAGCTGTGACCCTAGACATGACGTTTTAGGTGTTCCTGTGAGGTGGGCCTAGCACCTCCCTGGAGGAGGCACTCCAGATGAGCTCCCCTCACAGAAGCCCTGAGAGTTCTGGGTCATGTTGGTGATCATCAAATTCTGTTTCCTGGTGACCTGCAGAACCATGTCTTTTGAGACAGGGTTTCATGTAGCCCAGGCTGGCCTCCAACTGGCTATGTACCCAAGGTTGACCTAGAACTCCTCCTCTGTCTCCTGAGTGCCCATTCACACTGATGAAGCAACAGCTGAGCCACATCCCTGCCCCCCACATCCCTACCCTCCAGCATGTATTTCTTGGATCAAAGCCAAGGTAGGTTCCCTGACATCACACCGGTGGATCAAGCCAAAGAGTCCCCAGGCAGCCCTGGGGTTAAGGATGGGACCCAGCTGGCCTTCCCTTCCATCCGGCATCATGGTCACAGCTAGCTGCAAGGGAGACCAGACTCTATCACTCCAGGTGGCTGTACCCAGCTAGAAATCACCAGCCATGTCTAAGTGAGAAGCTGTCCCTGAAGGAAGCCAGGCTGAGGGAGGCCACACGACGAGTCACAAAACAGCAGTGGACACTACTGGGCCTGGAGGGATGGTTCAGTGGTTAAGACACTTGCTGCCCTTGTCCAAGGCTTAGTTCCCAGCATCCACAAGGTAGCTTACAACTGCCTGTAACTTCGGTTCCAGGAAGCCCAGCGCCCAATTCTGACCCCACACTGGCATTGCATGCACATGGTGCACATGCAGACACCCAGGCAGGCACAGCACATACACACATGTGCACAAGCACATACATATGTGCACACAATACACTAAACTAAAATATTTAATTTAAAAATGTAATAATATCTAGGTATGGTGGCACCTGTCTTTAATCCCAGCACTTAGAGGCAGAGGCAGATGGACCTCCGAGTTCAAGGCCAGCCTGGTCTACAGAGCGAGACCCTGTCCTTCTGCTGACATGAGGACAGATGCCTTCTAAGATGATTCAGCTCTGCCCCCTGTGGCATGAAGAAGAAGCTGAGTGCCCAGTGTCTGGCTTCTTGAGCATGTGAAGGAACCCAGGCCAGTGGGGGCCTGGACTGTAACCTCCCACTCTGTGCGGCTTCAGGGGCTGTAGAGAGAACTCTGCTGCTGGCTGACTCCCAGGTCCTTCACATCACTGGGTGGCCGACGGGGCAACAGGGAGCATAGCTAAACCCTCCCAGGGCTGGGGAGGCAAGCAGCACCACCTCCAGGGAGCCCTCCTGACAGCCCTGGCCAGTTATGGTGATCTCCACAAGAGTGAGTGGTACTGAGATGCCACCCCTCTTACTAACTTGTCTCCGTCCTTGGATGATCACCGAGTCCTGATCCTGGTACCACTGGGTGTATCCTTTGTGCCTTGTGTTTGTAAAGCGAGCTTGCTGGTAACGGTCATTTAAAGGAGTGGGCGAGGGCCTGAGTCCTCTCTCCCTCAGGAGGCAAGGCCCTCAAGGGTTAACCAGGAGCCTGCCTGCAGTCTGAGGTAGGCAGGGAGCGTATTTGTTCAGGTAAATAAGGAAGGATTACTTATAATGGGAAACCTGGCGGGCCAACTCCGTGTCTTACTTCTGACTTCCTTCCAGTGCATTCCTGCACTCCGACTGCTGTCCATTCCACCTCCCACTCCCACTCCTGGCTGCTGCTGCGCCCCCCGCCCCCGTCAACACCCCAGCTTAGGCCTCGTCATGGTGCCAGCAGGTGACCCTGAGCCTCCAACAGGGGCCTGCCTGTAGACCCTCAGGCCTGAGACCTCAGACTGCCCCTTGAGGGTGGATAGGCCCTGGTGGCCCACTGGAGGGTCACCTCTGCCACAGCCCCACTGGCCCCACAGATGTCTGACTGAGACGCAGCAGCGGTTGGAACTGCCCACTGCCTCCTCCTGGTTCCTGAAGTTTGTGCTACAGAGGACAACTCAGTGGACACCAGGCAGCTAACGGGTGAGTGTGGCAGGAGGCAGTGTGCCTTCCTTAGGGCTTCCTGCCAGTTGGGGGGAGGCTGGTGGCTGCCACGAACTGGAAGAATACTTTGCAAGTTTGGGGCGCATATTCTAGACACTAGGAACACTTTACAAACAATCCTGTCCCTTCCATATGCTGCCATTTGCCTTGCTGGTCACACCAGAGCTTAGGGGGCACCCACTTTTTCCGGGGTTCTCACATCTGTGGGCCCAGCACAGAGCCCATTCTGTGCAATTTGAGGAGAACATGGCGATGTGCGTATATGGCACCCCTGGGTCTAGCCAACTGTGCCCCGACTCAGGCAGCTGTCCGGTCACCGCCACCCTAGTTGCTCTGCCAGAGAGAAAGAGTGGTAATTTCCTGACCACAGTGGACAGACAGGGGCCCACTGGACCTGGGGGCTCAAGGCATGAGCTGGAGCCCAGGAAACTGAGTGAGCATGGTGGCACAGGCTGGCAGTCTGGGGTCACCACCTAGGTACGCAGAAAGCAGAGGGATCGTACAAGGAAAAGAACAATGTGGGGGTGGGGGTCCTGAGGTGCTCAATCTTTAGTTTTTTGGGGGTGTTTATTCTGAGACTGGCTTTACTCACTATGTGGGTCAGCTGGCCTCCAGCTCACAGATCCACCTGCCTCTTGGACTGCTGGGATTAAAGGCCTGCGCCACCATACTGGCTGGGATTTGAGTTGGTTTCTGTAGCCCCGGAGTAGTACAGGCTGTTCTTCAGTTCACGTTAAACCTTACCCTGAAGGCACTCATTTCTGCTGGTTTAGGTTCTTATAAATTGCATTTATTTGGGGAGTACGTGTGTACAGGGGTAGGGGTGTTGATGTGGGGTTAGAGGACAGCCTGTTTCCTGAGTCCTTTAGAGCTACACCTGCCTTGCCTCCTGAGGACCGCCATGCCCAGCTTGGAGTCCATTCTTGCTTTTATCATTTGTGCCAGGCTTGGTCACAACTGTCTTTACCTGCTGAGCCATCTCGCCAGCTCCAAGGCACTCATTTCTAAACTGTCAGACTCCTATAGTGAGGAGAGGAGGGTGAGCGTAGTAAGAATGACAGGGTTGAGGGCCTGAGCCCCAGAGGTGCCTCTGAGGCTGGCCGAGGGGTGTGTGTGTATGTGTGTGTGTGTGTGTGTGTGTGTGTGTGTGTGTGTGTGAGAGAGAGAGAGAGAGAGAGAGAGAAAGAGACCTCTGAGGCTGGCCGAGGGGTGTGTGTGTGTGTGTGTGTGTGAGATAGAGAGAGAGAGAGAGAGAGAGAGAGAGAGAGAGAGAGAACCCTGAGACTGGCCAAGGTGTGTGTGACCCCGAGGCTGACTGAGGTGTGTGTGACCCCTGAGACTGGCCGAGGTGTGTCTATGTGTGTGTGACCCCAAGGTTGACTGAGGTGTGTGTGTATGAGACCCCTGAGACTGGCCGAGGTGTGCCTTTGTCAGGGCAGGGAGTGTGTAAGTGTGTGTGCATGCATGGGTCCACTATGTGGGCCCCAGACCTCGTGCCTCCACTCCCAGCAGTGTCCAACAGCCCCAATCCAGTCACAGGCCTCCATGGCTGACCCCATCCCCCTGGCCAAGACGGAGATTCCGCTCATTTCCTGCCCCCACCTCCCCAAGCAAACAGCTTCAAGACAACCCCCAATAAAGCTGCAGGGCCCCATACCAGCTGCTCCCTGAAGTAACAAAGTAAACAGCCCTGCAACTTCCCCCAGCCCAGGAAGAGGGCAGAGCAAGCAGGTGCTGCCCACCGCGCGTGCCAATGGTACCAGCAAGCTGAGCGTCTGATGCCACGTGGAAGAGTACCCCATCCCAGCACACGGGCACTGGGAGGCCGAGGAAGGGCAGGGATGGTCTCACTGGGTCTAGGAGCCTGGCTGTAAGTGGTCCAGCATCTCTCCCATGCCAGGTGTGGTGGGTGCCCAGAGCGCTGAATATTGTGTTCTGCAAGTTTTACCTGTCACAGATGCTCAGGACCCTGTGAGTCAGGTGTGGCCCCCCTGCCATCCAGACCCAAGGCAAAAAAGGATGACCCATTGGATGTCAAGTGGCTGCTAAGAGCAGGGCCTGCAGGGAACCAGAACAGGAGGCTAAGCTGGCTGGCTTGATGTGGCCTGTGCTGAACCCAGAAAGGGTCAGCTCTAGCTGGCTGGAAGCCCAAGGCCCCACATGCAGAATAAGAAAGGATGGGTTAAGGATCTCAGGGCATCTCTCTTCCTCGGAGTGTTTGTAGCCCCTTGTCTGTTGAATAGGAAGGTTATACAAGGTAGTCTCCCTGAGAAGGGAGATGTCGTGAAGGATATGCTGGATTGGAAGTCTGAAAGCTGCTTAGGAGTTGGCTAGACATTGGCTGGACTTGCCAGCTTATATCCTAGGCTTGCGGGGACATAGAATGGGCAGGGATTCCTGGCTGTGGCTGCCACCAGGAGGTAAGGAGGTATAGATGAGGCTAGCAGCTATTCAGACTTGGGCAGAGTGGGGAAGAGCAAGGAGCCCAGACCTCCCTCTCCTCCACCCTCAAGTCTCTGCCATTTCACTTAGTGGGTGCCAGTCTTCCCTTGTTCCCATCCTTCCTTCCTCTCCTCCCTCTTCTCCAGTCTCTCCCCTCACCTGTTCCCAGGTGTGCATTCAGGCATGCTCCACCGTGGTAATCCCCAGGAATGCCTCCCGCCAGTGCTCCAACCCCTTTACACCAGGCAACCCACAGCCTTAACACACAGCACAGCTGTCTCAGAAGAAAAGCCTCCACAGCCAGAGCTGGAGGGCAGGAGGCAGGACCTAGCTCTGGCCTGGGACCCTCCCCTCGTCCCCGAGCCCCCACAGGTAGCTCAGCAGGTAGAACCGCTCTTCTCAAAGCAAACCTTGGCACCGTTGCCCTGGGCCCTTGCTGACATTTAACGCTCTGAGCTCCAGCTGCCAGTGTGAAGCCTGAACCCGCCACTCCTTTCCCACCCTTCCTGCTGATCGTTCCTGGCCACCCAGGCACCTCACTAGTATCCTGCAGGGTGTGGGGGGGCATGGGACAAGGGCCTCCCAGCACAGAAGAAAAAGACAATGAGGCCTCTGGGGGTTCTTCCAGATTGGAGGCACCCCTATCCCCCAGGGCTGAGATGGGAACCCTGAGTGGCTGGGTTCAGGCAGCAGGGGCCTCCCAACCAGAAGGGGACATAAGTCTACGGGCACTTCCTGTCGCACCTCCTCACCTGTCCCAGCCTCCCTGGACCGTTCATCCTGGGTCTTGATTGGTTGCGAGAGGAGTTGGGGAAGAGAGAAGCCGCTGTGTTCTGCCCTCTGAGGGTCCCTGGGCTCAGATGTGGAAGGTCTGTGCTGCTAGAGAAGAAACGCAGCCCTGTGGGCCCGAGGGCACCCTGAGTAAAGGACTTCTCTGGAAGACTCACACAGGAGGCCAAGTAAAGACCGAAACTGCAGTTTCTGGAAAACTCTGGCAGTCAGGCAAAAAGGAAGCAGCAGGATGGTCAGTAGACTCTTCAAGCCCCAACCCCTGCCCCCAACTCCTGGGGCTGGGGCCTTGCTGGCGGCAGGAGTGGGAACGGGGGGTCTGAGGCCTTGCTGGCAGCAGGAGTGGGAACAGGCTGAGGGTAACTGCTGTCACATGGGAGCCTCTCAGAGCCTGTGAACACAAATTCCAGAGACAATTAGAGTAGGGACACTCAGCTATGTTTCTTTTCCCCCCACTTCTCATTTTTTAAGGACAAGGTCCTATGTAGCCCAAACCAACCTCAGACTACATTGGTAGTGGCTGGTCTGTTTGGTGGAGGGAGGCCAAGCCAGCACTCCCAACACCGCAGGGAGGCAGTGAGGAGGCCTGATTCCCCTCACCTCAAGGGCTGTAAGGAAGGGCAAGGCTGCTGGGTGCCAGAGCCTTGAAAGGCAGAGATGGGCAGGGGAGTGGCAGGCTGGGGGGGAGGGGGACTGGATCATGCAGGGGGGAGGTCAGGAAAGTGGCGAGCCTGAGATCCCTAAAGCTTAGGCTGGTCCGGCTCTCTCCATGGTGCTGACAAGCCGGTGGGTATTGGGGTACAGGCGTGAGGGACCTCCCACTCTGTGGGGCTCTTTGTCAGGTCCTAGTCTCGCTCCTGTCTCTAGCCTATTTAAGGGGTTCAGAGGTTGGGAGGACTTGGGGAGTGGCCAGCAACTGGGGCCAGACCTCACAAAGTCAGGGGGTGACAGTGGCTGACTCTGTCACGCCAGCAAGTGATAACGTCCCTCAGGGCCACTTCCCCAGGTCCTGAAGCTGGGTCTCAGGACAGGGGGTGGCCGAAGGCATTTTCATGCTCCGTCACCTAGGAGGCTGGGTCTGGAAGAAGAAACCCCACAGGCCATAGAGGACAGGGGCTCCTGACACACGGCCACCAGGCATTTCATGAGAGTCTCCTGGGCAACTTCATTCCCTGAGGATGGAGTATTCCATGTGAACAGAAGGCACACGGGGCAAATTGTCCCCGAAGGGAATGGGGTACTCGGTCTCCACCACTGGTTCCTCTGTGCCCTACTTATCTTCCTGGGGGACAGGAGGTACTTAAGGATGGATTCCAAGCTATGAAGGTCTACCCGCTAACCCTCCAATGTGGCCCTGCCTCTTGACTCGGCCTGCACCAGCTGTCACCAAGCTTTCTTTTGTCTGGAGAGGCAGCCAGGGCTTCTGGGGCAAGAGCAAGTCAGACCCACTGAGCCTTAATCCAGACGTGTGGCTCTACCCCCTGAGATCAGCTCGAGGTTTGGAGATGGGAGCGATCACTTGGGAGACTGTAGCCCTGGGTGATTGAGAGGGACAGAGAGTAGCCTGTGTTCAACACGCTGGCAGACCTCAGGCTTGTTTGGGATCTCAGGTCTATAGAGCAGGTCCCTGGTTAGGTCCTGATTCTTCTGCGTGTGTCTGAGTCCCTCCCTGCCACTACCTGAGCTTCAGTCTTCCAAGTCCTCATAAGTCCACAGGCAGATGGCTTTTTGAGGATATAGTCATGGACTAAGTACATTAGAAATGGAGATACCAGAAGGGCTCCATGGGAATGGGGGTCTAGGGAGCTGGGATGAGAAAGAAATGGCATCTTGGGAAAGAGGACAGTAACATGGGGGAAATACCATGACTATGTCCACTGCAAGGAAGGAGGTGAGAAATGCCAGCTTTATCAGAGCCTGGATGTGAGGAGAGCATGCTCACTGGTGGTTCTGGCTGCCACACAGCGCCTTCCCCCATTCTGAGTTTCAACTATGCGGTGCTGAGATAGAACCCAAGGCTTCACACGTGCTAAGCAAGCATTTTCCAGCTGAGCCACATCCCAGCCCGTGGAGCCGGGCCGGCAGTCGGAGCTGTGCCTGCCAGGTGCTCGAGCAAAGAGTCTGATAAGAGGGTATTCGAAGGGAATGAACTTGACAGTGGGGTGGGATGAGCAGCCAAGAGCAGAGGGAGAACCTGGAGGATGAAGGGGCCCAAGCAGGAGGTGGCCAGAGAGGGTGCCCTAAAGAGACTGTGGTCCAAGAAACAGAGCCCACACGTGGGCAGGTACACTCTCCTAAGCATGGCCATCTTCATCTATGAGGGGAGACCCTAGTCCACGTCCCCAGGCTGTGGGTGGCTGTCCTAACTAGGGTTTCTATTGCTGCAATGAGACACTATGACCAAAGCGACCTGGGGAGGAAAGGGTTTATTTGACTTACACTTCCACATCACTGTTCACCCTTGAAGGAGGTCAGGACAGGAACTCAAACAGCGCAGGAACCTGAAGGCAGGAACAGATGCAGAGGCCATGGAGGGAGTTGCTTACTGGATTTCTCCTATGGCTTGCTCAACTTTCTTTCTTTTTTTTTAAAATATTTATTTATTTATCTATTTATTATGTATACAATATTCTGTCTGTGTGTATGCCTGCAGGCCAGAAGAGGGCACCAGACCCCATTACAGATGGTTGTGAGCCACCATGTGGTTGCTGGGAATTGAACTCAGGACCTTTGGAAGAGCAGGCAATGCTCTTAACCTCTGAGCCATCTCTCCAGCCCCCTCAACTTTCTTTCTTATAGAATCCAGGACCACCAGCCCAGGGATGGTACCGCTCACCATGGGCTGGGCCCTCCCCCATCAACACTAATTAAGAAAATGACCTACAAGCTTGCCTATAGCCTGATCTTACAAAGGCATTTTCTCAACTGAGGCTCCCTCCTCTCAGATGATTTTAGCTTGTGTCAAGTTGACAAAACTCTTCAGCACAGGGTGTGTGGGCACCCTCGCATGACAGCATCCTCTGTGACACCCTTTGCTTCTGCCTCAGCCCAGCTGCAGGCATGAGGGGTCAAAGGTGCAGCCAGCCATTTAGCCAAACCACCAGGCCCCAGCCCTTAGGGACCCTTTCCTCTGTGGCATAGTTCATTGTTCAGTCAGGAGAGCCCTGGGCATTGGGAAGCGGAGAGAAGGGGAGGCTGGAGTCTCTGGTGGGGAAGGGTCCAGAAGGCCTCCTTTGCAGTGACTCCCCCTGTAAAATAGGATAAGAAGAAAGTTTAGACTGCCTCCCCCTGGGGAGCGTGTGGGTGCCAGGGCTATGAAGCCTACTCAACAGACGAGGTAAGAACGTGGCGTTACATAGCACCTGGGTCAGCACGGGCCCCGCTTGTCGCAGTGCCTGGACCCCAGCACCTGTCTCCCCCACCTACACCTGTGGCTGAGGCCAGGCAAACAGGGACATGGAGCATCGAGTTCTCCTGTCTCTTGGAAAAGCTTGCAGCTGGGCACAGGGCCCAGGGAGCTGGCAGGGACTGTCCTAACGTGGCAGACGTGGGGCTGCTGGGCTGTGGATGGGGCGGGAGGCCACTGAGGGGTGAAAGAGGAAGGATGGAGACCGGAGAAGGCTCTCCTGGGGTGGGGCCACCACCTGGGATATAGGTGTGGACACAGGCCAAGGTGGGGACTCAGAGGGAGAGCAGGCTGTGGACATTGCCTTGGTAAACACCAAGGGCCCATGGCACACACACATGTTTGCACAGAAGGACTTGAAATTAATCCAAGCCTGCCCTCTGTCCCCCGAAACTCCAGCCCCCCCCCGCCCCTGCCCACCCCACCCACCCAAACCTTTTCTTCCTTGTCACTTAAAGGATTCTTTGAAAGGAAGAGTTGGAACCAGAGGTAACACCCTCTCTTCCTTTGTTGGTTTTCTCTCCCTGCAGGAGCCTGCAGGACTCTGCTGGAAAGTGGGAAAGGCTGGGCACTGAGCAAGGGGTGGGTACCGAGCAAGGGGTAGGCACCGAGCAAGGGGGTGGGCACCGAACAAGGGGGTGGGCACCGAGCAAGGGGGTGGGCACCGAGCAAGGGGGTTGGCACCAAGAAAGGGGGTTGGGGAGAGGGAGCTGAAATTCATCTCAGCTCATAGAAATCTGTTTCCTGAGTTATAGGGCATTTTCAGACAGGTCAGCTGTGGTCCTTGAAGAAACCCAAGGGTTTTTCCAGTCTGGGCCTTTTCCTTTGCCCCCGCAGTGGCAAAAGCCAGCTGCACGGTAGGCCCTGCAGAGTGGCAGAGACGGAGCCGGGTACCCTGGGCCTCCCCAGCACAGCTGCACTTCCAGCACTTAGGAGTTCCAGGAGGCCAGAGGACCAGACGGTCCAGGCCAGCCTGTGTTACACCAGACCTTAAGAAAAACTGCCCCTCCACCTGCCCATGTCCCATCTTGCCCACACATCCACCTTATTGTCTTCCAGCCAGCCCTGTACTCACTGCCCAGTGACCCAGAAGCCCCCAGGCCTCTCCCAGGCCCAGCCCACTGCCTGCTGAGCCCTGAGTCTTATAACCAGCTTAGTGACTCCCACAGAGCCAGGGCAGCCATGAGACCCACCTCTCTTCTCTGACTTCTACAGACACAGCCACAAGACTCAGCGGCAGCATGGGCAGTGCCAGTCCGGGCCTGAGCGTTGTGTCCCCTGGTTGCCTGCTGCTGTCCCCAGATGTGGCACTGCGGACAGGTGTGGAGAAGGCGGCGGTGGAATCAGTGGTCCCTGAGAAGCGGGAATGGAGCCCCAGCCCACCCGCCACCCCTGAGCAGGGCCTGTCTGCCTTCTACCTCTCCTACTTCAACATGTACCCCGAGGATGGCAGCTGGGTAGCCAAGGTCCCCGCGGCCAGCGCCAGGGAGGAACCGCTGGAGGAGCCTGAGCAGTGCCCGGTCATTGACAGCCAGGCCTCTGGGAGCAGCCTGGATGAACACTCACTAGAGCAGGTGCAGTCCATGGTGGTAGGCGAGGTCCTGAAGGACATCGAGACGGCGTGCAAGCTACTCAACATCACAGCAGGTGAGACCCTCCCTGCCACCTCCACCGGTGACTCTGATCACCCTGGGCAGCCCAGGGCACACAGCAGCTGGAGCCAGGGCCGTGCCCACCCACACTGCCCCCACTTAGTGGCTAAAGAGCATTCACATGCTGTTCCATCTAGCGCCCGCCTTTTCTGTTTCACCCACTTGGCCGCCCTTCTTTTCCACAACGCTCACCCCAGGACCTTTGCACCTGCTGGTCCTTCAACCTAGAATGCTTTTCTCACGGATTAACCTCCTGAGCCCCTCCCTGGCCGCCTGCAGGTTTAACTGGCAGCATCCCCAGGAGGCTGCTGATCCTCTGCTGAGATTGTCTCCCATACCCCACCATTTTCTTGCTCTTGTGATATGATTGCCACTTGGAGGTCTGAGGGCATGTCTGTTCTGTGTTCTGGCCCCACTTGCTGTCTGTATCCCACTAAAGGATTTGAATGTCCCTGTCCCTAGACAGCACTGGACATGAGAGGTACTCAATAAACAGCCACCGACTGACTTGCCATTCATACCGGGACCGGGGTTCTGAGCAGTTGAGGGATGTAGAGGTCCCTCTGTGTGTGGAGCTGGCCTGGTGGAGCATAATTAAACAGCCGAATGTGGTCCTAGTCAACTGATGGGGGCTGTGAGGAGGAGGGGGTACCAAGGAATAGACTGTATGTGTGTGTGTGTGCCTGGTCTGGGGTGTGTCATGGAGCTAGTGCTGCAGGTTGGATGGTTGAAGGGCAGGAAGTTCTGATCTCCATCCTTTAGTTTTCCCTTGGGAAGTAGGGGCTTCTCTTGCCCCTCACCCTCAGCTCCTGCTCCACCACCCCCAATCTGCTAGATGATCCCAAGTGGTGTCCCCATTCCAGGCAGCTCCTGCCCACATCTATCTCCTTGTCTCCACTTTCGCACACTCCAGAGAGCCCTACCCCAGGAGGCTCTCCCACGGTACCGCTTCCCCATCCCCGCTTGGGAGGGCTGTGTGCTCAGAACAATGGGGACAGAAACAAATTGCATTGACCTCAAGAAAGAAAACGGCCTTTTGAAGTGGGAGCAGCCTAGCTTGCGGGTCACTCAGCTGGGACACTGGCTCAAAGCAGTGTTCTCCTGGAGGCCTCACTGCCACTGTGACCCAGTCTGGTTCCAGCTATGTGCCCCGAGAACCATTTCCCCAGGGACACACATAGCTGGTGAATCTTTTCCCCCACCTTTAGCTGATCTATAGCCATTTGGGGCAGCTGCTGTGAACCCAAACCGTTTGCAAAGCATTAGACAAGGGACGCACTCCTCCCTGCATGCACCCCTCTCCTCACGCGCCCCAGTTTCCTTGCCTCTAGAAGTCTAGGATGGAGGGTTCCTGGGTGGGTTTGCTCATTGAGAAGATTGTGAAAAGGCAAGATGTATCTGGCTGTCAGCGGTTGAATACCACTGTCCCCTTCAGAGCTAGGGTTTCCCGAGAGGCCCCATGAGGGGCTGGACAGACACCTGGATGTGATGGGGTTGCAGAGGCAGCAAGCTTGTGTTAGGACCGTGGTGGCTCTTCCTTCTCACTTCCTTTTTTGTGGAGTGTCTGCCGCCATGGGGCTCCTCGAGGCTCTGAATGTCCCCACCCTTAGGAGCATACAGTCCTGCACAGCAAAGCCCCATGGGTGTTCCATCCTGTCTCTTGCCCAGACCCTGGGGACTGGAGCCCTGGCAATGTGCAGAAGTGGCTGCTGTGGACAGAGCACCAGTACCGGCTGCCTCCAGCAGGCAAGGCCTTCCAGGAGCTGGGCGGCAAGGAACTGTGTGCCATGTCGGAGGAGCAGTTCCGTCAGCGTGCGCCCTTGGGTGGGGACGTGCTGCATGCCCACCTGGACATCTGGAAGTCAGGTAAGACGTGAAGCTGCACAGGCCAGGTCCCTCCTGGCTCCAGGCTGGCCTGGAACTTGCGTCCATCTTTTTGCCTCCCAAGTGCTGAGATTACAGGCACACATCCCATGCCCAGCTGTTGCTTTTCCTTTTAAAGGGAAAACCCTTTTTAAGGTTAGCTTTATCTTGTATTAAAGAGGTAGTGACTGTCAGGGTGGCTCAGTGGATAAAGGTGCTTGCCTCCAAGCCTGACAACTTGAGTTCGATCCCTGGGACCTGCATGTTAGGAGAGAATGGGCTCCCCCAGATTGTCCTCTGACGTCCACACGAGCGATGGCACCTGTGTTTACACACTTACACAACATTGTTGCCTGCTCTTTTTTCCTCTTGGGCATTTTGGAGGATTCTGCGCTTGCTCATCGGGTCAAGGCCCCTTCCCTTAGAGGACTGGGATGACTAAGGAACAGGACCCACTCAGGTGACTCTGTGAATGGTCAGTGCCGGCTCCAGCCTGGGCGCCTGGCCCGTAGATGTGACTTGAGCAGAAGAGCTCTGTTCCTGGCTGATGGTCAGTGGGCATCTGCAGTGGGCAGAGGTCGGTGGTCGAGTGGGCAGCTAGAGGGAAAAGTCTGGTGCAAACGCTAAGGGCCAGCCCTCAGCACTGCTGCCTGGCCACAGCTCCAAAGGATGTCCCTGTCCTGTTTCATGGTGAGGAGAAAGGGGAGCCCCTGAACACCGACGCAATGCTGTCTCAGCTCCGACATCTCCACTCCCATGTTAGCACCTAGTTACCCTAGATAGGCGGGAGGCAGGGAGCTGTAGGACCCCAGCCACGGGGGACCTCAGCTGGGTATCCAACCTCCCCTACTTGTCCCACAGCGGCCTGGATGAAGGAGAGGACCTCGCCCGGGGCCCTTCACTACTGCGGTGAGCCGGGCAGGCGCAGGAAGGCCTGGTGGGGCTGAGGGAGGCTGCCCGGGGAAGCGGGTGGTGGCCATGCCACTCACCCTACCGCCCTGGCTTCCAGCCTCCGCCAGCGAGGAGGGATGGACAGATGGCGAGGTGGATTCGTCGTGCTCTGGGCAACCCATCCACCTGTGGCAGTTCCTCAAAGAGCTGCTGCTCAAGCCCCACAGCTATGGCCGCTTCATCCGCTGGCTCAACAAGGAGAAAGGTACAATACCCGCCCCCCCCCCACGTCTCTCTCTCTCTCTCTCTCTCTCTCTCTCTCACACACACACACACACACACACACACACACACACACACACACACACACTGTCACCGGGGCGGGGAGGGCTTAGAAGGGGGCGTGACTTGTGGCAGAGGGACAGGTCTACAGTGGGAGGTGTAAGAATGCGAGGGGGCGGGGCTTATATAGGGCGGAGCTCCGTGTCTGTGGGGGCGGGGCTCAGACTACTGAGAGAGGGGAGAGGGAGTGGGGCTGGGTCAGGGTGGCTTCTATAGGAGGGCAGGGTGGGGAGGGCAGGAAAGGCGGGGTTTCTATGGAGTGGAACTCTCGCTGGGAGCATGGGCAGGGCTGGGGTGGGGCTTCTGCTAGGCAGAGGTGGGCACAGGGTTCTGGCAGGGAAGGGATGGAGAGCATGGGCCGGAGCAGCGATTGAGGTGGTCTTTGGGCGTGGCTCCAGCTGGGAGAGGTGTGGCCTAGACTGACTCCGCCTTCACCCTGTGCCAAATGAGCCACTCAGAGATTTGTACCCCTGCAACTCCAAAGATTTCAAGGTTTAGGGTGTTGTTTATGTCCTCATCAGCCTCTCCACCAGACTGACACTGGCACTGAGATTTCTTCCAGCACCTCACAGCACCTGAAACAGTACAAACTTGAGAGTATTTGCCAAGAATGGGAAAACACGGCTTTAGTAGGGCATGGTGGCACAGGCCTTAAAGGCCAGCACTGGGAAGGCAGAGGTTGGTGGTGAATTTTATGCCCACTTCAGTCTAAATAGAGAGATCTTGTTTCAAAAAAAAAACAAAACAAAAAAAACAAAACAGGACTGGAGAGTCGCCTCAATTGTTAAGAATATATATATATATAATGTATACAACATTCTGCCTCCATGTATGCCTGCATGCCAGAAGAGGGCACCAGATCTCATTACAGATGGTTGTGAGCTACTATGTGGTTGCTGGGAATTGAATTCAGGTCCTCTGGAAGCGCAGTCAGTGCTCTTAACCACTGAGTCATCTTTCTAGCCCAAGAATATATTTTGGTATTTCAGAAGACCCAGGTTCAATTCCCAGAACCATGTGACTGCTCTCAACTTTCTTACTTCGGCACCTATGGTCTGATGCCCCGCCCCCAACCTCTGCAGGCACCAGGCACAAACTTACAGACGCACAAGCAAAACACTTACCACATGCAGTAATAAAATAAATCTTTATAAAGGATCATGTTTGGGGGCCAGTGAGACAGTTCAGTGAAGGCAGGCACCACGCCTGAAGACCTGAGTTCAGTCCCTACAGGATGGAAAGGGGAACGATTCCTGCCCATTGTCTTCTGACTGCCACACACAGGCACGCTGGGGCACATGGCACACGTTCATACAATATGAACAATAAATAGATGAATGTGAAAGAATAATAGCGAGAAAAATCATAGCTTCAACCTAGAGACACATGGTGTCTATCAGAAACACAATGTGAGCCCTATATATAATACTAAATGTTCTAGGTCCAGAATCGAAATGTTTAAAAACAAGTGAATTTCACTTTAATGATCTATCTGTGCTGCCTGACCTTTAATACAAAATTCCTAAATGCTCCCCAAATGCAAACTCTTCAGAGTGGATTTCTGGCCAGGAAAGCCTGTCAAATATTCCAAAACCCTAAAACTCCAAACTCTGGTACGGTTCTGACCCCAAATTTCATATTAGGGATATGCAACCTGCATTTGATCTGATATTATGCATAAGTTAGAATTTCAGCCAGTAATAAAGATAAAAATTATTGAAAGATAGGGTTTTTTTTGTCTTTAATCCCAGTACTCAAGGGCAGGCAAGGTATGCAGAGAGACCCTGTCTCAAAAAGAAGGAAAGGAAGGAAGGAAGAAAGGAAGGAAGGAAGGAAGGAAGGAAGGAAGGAAGGAAGGAAGGAAAGGAAGGAAGGGAGGAAGGAAAATGTTTGCTAAGTTGCACAGCCTGTCCCTGGGGCCAGGGCTGAAGAGGGCCCCAGCATCTGGTTCTTATCCTTTCTCCAAAAGTGACTCATTGATCTCATCTCTCTTCTTCCCACACCCTCCACATGCCCCTCCTCCTCTCCTCCCACCCTCCTTTCCCCCAGGGATCTTCAAAATTGAGGACTCTGCCCAGGTGGCCCGGCTGTGGGGTGTGCGCAAGAACCGGCCTGCCATGAACTATGATAAGCTAAGTCGCTCCATCCGCCAGTATTACAAGAAGGGGATCATCCGCAAACCTGACATCTCTCAGCGTCTCGTCTACCAGTTCGTACATCCCGTCTGAGAGCCGCAGAGGCCAGAGGCCTACCGCCTGTCCCAGACAGTCACTCTCCTCCTGGCCCGGGCTCAGCCCAATCTGAATCCAGGGGCTGCTGGCATCCCAGAATCCAAGGTCCCAGAGAGACAGTCCTAGATCAGTATCTAGGGATGCGTGTGAACTATCTGAGTCTCTGCTCAAGGACAAGAGGCCCTGGAGGGTCAAGGGAGCTAGGTCTGCTCCCAAGTAGAGAACCCCCACCCCCAGGCTTGGACTGTGGGATTCAACCAAGGCAATTCACAGGATGGTGATGTCACTGTTTTCTACTCCTGCAACCCATCCTGTACCATGACTGGCACAGTACTAAGAGATGTCTGCAACCTGTGTTGGGGAGCCAGGAGTGCCCTAGGAATGGTTAATAAAGATACAAGATGACTGCCAGGTCTCCAGTGTCTGGCTATGGACAGCCTAGCCGAGAGGCCAGCAGCAGTCAAGGGTGACTGTGGTCACAGGTGTTTGGGGTGGAGACTACAAGGAAAGCTTGCCCAGGGAGGTGTCATGGCGCTGAGCTTAAGAGAAAAATGGTAGCTGTTTGGTAGACATCATAGAAGAGGCAGAATGTTCTCCAGGCCAAAGTAGCTAATCTAGCCAGCCACTGTACCCTCCTCACCCTGGGCCAGGCTGAAGAGCGTCTCTATACACAGGCCCCAGGTAAGGAAGGCAGCCTCTGCACTTACTCTGTCGAAGGGCAGGGCTTTGCCTCCAGCTGTGCCCAGGTGTGCCAGGGGTCTGGCTCTCCTGCATGAGGCCCAGAGCAGTTATATTTTCTCAACCACCTAAGGAAACTGAACCACATGGTGGACTATGGGAGACGGTGGGCGATTCAGTATGTTAATGGGACAGTAGCTTTGTAAGGATGGAGGGTTTGCAGTCTCTGTCCCCCAAAGTCTCTCCAAGATGTATTCATGGAGTTGTGAGTCCCTAACGTGGGCAGGAGAGCCACCTGAGTGTGGGAAGCTGGTCATGCATGTGCCTGCATGTGGAGATCCCAGCCAGCCTGCTCATTCTCCTGAGCAGCCCAGTGTATCACACTTCCCTGATTTATTTGCCCAAATCAGGCATCCCTACTGTGCGCCAGCCACTCCTACTGCCTTTTGTCATCGGCATCCTCAACAAAACCATGAAGCCAGGGTCATTTCTCTGCTCTGCACATGGTGGATCAGGGGTCCGGCATGCCTGAGCAATTAGCTCACAGTAACACAGCTTTGGATGCCAGGACCAGGAGCTGAGCTCACTCCATCCCTTCCCAGGCACAGGAGTCTCCCCACCTTCCTTTTTCAGATGGGTCAGCACCTAGCCCCACAGACCTTAGCTTCTGAGGCCAGTCTTCTAGGAGAAGGGCCAGGGCACCAACACCACCCGGAACACCAGGGGTTTGGGGGGTTTTGTTTTGTTTTGGTTTTTGTTACACAGAGACAGGAGTTCTCTATGTAGCCTTGGCTGTCCTGGAACTTACTCCATAGACCAAGCTGGTCTCGAACTCAAGATCCTCCTGCCTCTGCCTCCTGAGTGCTGGAATTAAAGGTGTGTGCCACCATGTCAGACTGGACCACCAAGGGTTAAAGGCATCCTGCAGCCTGCCTTCTGCCCCCAGGACTTTATTGTCTCCTGAAGAATGTTTACCCCGGACAGCGGGCAAACAGTGACTTGGCATCTGTCACTCGGGGTTGGACTTGACAGGAGGGGAGGGCTCTGCCCAGGTCTCTGCCTTGCTAGGCCCCAGCTGTCTCCCTTCCCCAGGGAAGAGGCAGACTGGGACCCTGGCCAGAGGCAGGTTCAACGCACTGTTAAACTGGTTTTGTCTCCAGCCAGCCCATCCTGCCCCTCAGGAGTCCCTGAAGTCACACAGGATGTCCCAGCCATGCCTGGGCCAGGCACAAAGCTCGCTCAGGCAGGGCTGGGGGTTTCTCAAACGGGCAGGGGGGTTGGGGAGCAGGAGCAGCTCCCCCTAGAGGAGATCAGAGGGGCAGCTTCCATCAAGGAACATCCAGAAGGCAGCAGCTACCCAGTGACATCTCCTGAGCTGGCAGCAAACCAGGAATTCGCCTCCCTCTGTTGGCATGTCCCTATTAGGACCTCACCTGGGCAAGAATTTCCTGACCCCTTTTTGGAAATCTCATTTCAGTTCCCCCTGCCCCTAACAAACTGGAATATCCTGTGTGTGAGTGAAGAGGTCACCACTTTGATTCCTGGGCTGGGCATGGAGGCCTGAGCCTGTAGTGTTAGCATTTGGGAATAGGAGGCAGAAGTTCAGATCAGCCTCGGCTACACAGCCAGTTAGAGACCAACTACATGAAATTCTTTTTTATTTTATTTTAGATTTACTTATGCATAGGGTGTTTTGCCTGTGCACACATTGCCTGGATGTCTGTACACCACATTCATGCAGTGTCTTTGGAGGTCGGGAGAAGGTGTAGGATCCCCCAGAACTGGAATCACAGAAGGTTGTGAGCTGTCATGTGGGTGCTGGGGATCGAACCTGGGTCCTCTGCTAAAGCAGTCAGTGCTCATAACTGCTGAGCAAACTCTCAGCCCTGGTGAGACTCTAGTTTTAGTGAAAGAAGGAAAGGAGCGAATAAAGGGGAGGAACATGGAGAAAGGAAAGGGGGAGGGAGGGAAGGAGGAGAAGGAAAAAGGGGAGAAGGGGAAGGAAGGCAGGCTGCAGAGATGGCTCAGCTGGTAAAGCGTCATGCCTGGAAGCCCAAGGTTGTCCCCCTACCCTCCACAGATCTGGGGTGGGGGATGCTGTGGGCACCCTGGGGTGGGGGGATACTGTGGGCACCCTGGGGTGGGGGAGTGATGTGGGCACTCTGGGGTGGGGGTGCTGGTGCACCTTGGAGTGGGGGAATGCCATGGGCACCCTGGAGTGGGGCAGTGCTGTGGGCACCCTGGAGTGGGGGTGCTGGTGCAAGGGTTATGTTTGTGTGAGGCTCTATTAGACCACCAGGGTCAGAAGGGCCTCTTGATTCCTACCCACAGACTGGGGAGCTGAGGCAGGGGAAGGCGTGGGTCTCAGAAAAGACCCCGCTGAGATGCAAGTGGGCACCAGAGCTCTAGGATGGCTCCCGGAGAGCCGGAGAGCCAGCTCTCGTCCTGCCAGGGCAGATGCTCCCAGGAGGCCTCCTACACAACGTGTTCACAGCAGGCAAGCAGCAGGAGAGCAAGGAGAGCAAGGAGACCTGGTGTTGCTCCGCGGGAGGCCTCAGTCAGGACTGGTGAGAATTCTGTAAAACCCAAGACTGTTTGAAGATCGAATTTCTTGAACCATGAATTCGGCTATTTATTTACTGGTTGATTGTTCCGCCTGGTATGGAAACAGCCTCACATATTAGACAAGAAGGAACGGGCCATACTTCCAACCTCAGAGCCATGAGTCTGGGACTTTAAATGCCCAGGTCTACTGGTCAGTTCTGTCACCCTTCACCTGGTATCTGAGGCCAGAGCCTCAGTGACCTCCCTAGACTCTCAGCTGTCCGGCACTTAGCCTTGCACAGGGCCACCTCCCCCGGGACAGACATCCTCAATACAGAGACTCAGAAGACAAGGCAGGGTGATAGAATTCTGGTTTTATCCACAGTCATACAGTCACAACTGATATAGATATATATATTTGTATTTATATACCTTTAAATTACACAATCATGTACAAAACATTGCTGAGACCACAGCACTTCTCGGAGTTTCACAAGTGTCAGAACTAATGGAGTCAGGAAGCCTAGGGTGGCAGACGCAGTGGCGGCGGCGGGCGGTGGGGCAGCCTGGGCTCCTCCCTGGAACCAGGCTGCAGGATGGTGGTTTAACTGGGGACGAAACACATCACTGACCGAGCCCTGCAGGGTCCTGTGCAGCATCAATGGGGCCCTTGGGGAATACAGGAGGGGTGTGGACACGGCGAGGGTATGGGTGCCCCGACACCAGTCATGACAGGTGGGGCCAGGCTCAGGGCTCTAAGGACTTCCAGGGACCCTGCAGCACTGGGGAGCTGAGGAGCTTGAGGACCAAGTCTGGTCACAGATGGGGTCATTGAAGGTGGTTGTTCATAAGGGAAAGAGAGAGATTTTCCAGTCCCTGCCCAGGAGTGGGCAGCTAGTGTGCTGAAGGGGGCAGACGCCTGGGGTCTAATCAGGGCCACAGTCCCTCTCCAGATGCTGGGAAGCCGCTAGCGCAGAGGGGGAGCCCAGGCCCCAAGGTGCAGACATGGCGGCTTCTTGCCTTTCTGGGGTGGAGGACTCCTGCCAGCCGGGGAGGCAGGAGGAGCTATGGAAAAAGGAGGGTTCCGAATCTTGCTTCAGGTCCTGAGGGGCCCAGCACCCAACCTTGGCTGCAGCTGAAGTCCCTAGGGCAAACAGTGACAAAGGAGAGGATGCCACGCTCAAGGTCCTGAGGAGGGACTGACCCCCACAGGCCCCTGCCACCGCCTTAACCACGAGAAGAGGGTCAGAGCCCTGATGCCTGAGTCCAGGTCCTGACAGTGTCAGAAGTAGCTAAAGGGGTCCTAGAGAACATAGGGACACATGCTCTTTCCCTGGAGGCTAGAAAGCTACCCGATCCGGGAGGCAGAGTGTGTCTGTAGCTCAGAGGCCTAGCAGATACTGGCTGTGAGCATGGGACTTCTCAAAGTTCCAGATAAACAGACTCTGACCATTCTCCCCTCTGGGGTGTTATCCAGTCTGTCTGCTTCCCATGCTATCCAAAGGAGAGCTGCTACCCACTTTCCACCCACAAGGGTCCTGTGTCCCCTCGCACCCCCCAGAGTTCTTTAATGGAGACTCAGGCTTAGAAAAATAGGGGGAGGGGGCTGCCAGCATTCAGGGGGTAATGTTGGAAAACTAAAAGGGACAAGAAAGATATGGTGACCATCCAGAGTTCCTTTCTCATGCCAGCCTGGGCTGCTGGCTTCCGCTTACAGGGCCAGGCTGGATGCTCCCCTAAGCCCAGCCCACGGGTCTCCCCAGCCGAGAGGGTACTTGGATTCTCCCCTGAGCCCGTGCCTCCTCAGTCAAGAGGGGACCTGGATGCTCCCCTGAGCCTGTGTCTCCCAGGTTGGCCAGGTGACAGAAGCAAGAAAAGGGAGGTTGAAAGCCTACTGGCTCCACAAAGCCGATGCGGACACAGTGAAGGGGTGGAGCATTTCTGGATGGCCATGAAGGACAGGGGACGAATGGCCAATGCCTTTTCCCCAGGGAACGGGAGAAGGCTGCTACTGTTGCTGGCTTTGCCCTGGGCTTGGGTGAGGGGGGCTTTGCCCAGTGTCAAGGCCTCAGGAGAGGGACAGGGCCTCTGCTAGCCGCAGAGTAGTTCTGGGGAGCCTCTGACCACAGGCCCAGACAAGGCTTTCATCCCTCAAAATGGGTCTGGCACTGGGAGGTTGGCACAGCCTGGATAGGATCTGCTCTTCCCCTCACTCTCCCGTGTGCCAGGGACACCATCACTTCCTCCAGCTCTGGAGAGCCCTGGAAGCTCCACAGAAAAGGGTGATCAAAAGATCAGGGCTGGGAGAACAGCACCCCCAGGGCAGAGTGGAAGACTACAGATTGGGAGGCCTCCTTCTTGGGATGTGGAGGAGGCCTTTAAGAGGAGGGCAGTAAACTGGGCGGTGGTGGCGCATGCCTTTAATCCCAGCACTCGGGAGGCAGAGGCAAGTGGATCTGTGTGAGTTCAAGGCCAGCCTGGTCTACAAAGTGAGTTCCAGGATAGCCAGGGCTACACAGAGAAACACTGTCTTGAAAAAACAAAAAATAAATAAACAAATAAATAAATAAAAAAGAGGAGGGTAGTGGTAGAAGTGGGGAGGGGGAGCGGGGGAGGGAGGAAGAGGTGAAGAAGTCAGGCTCAGGTGACAAGGGCAGCTGCTGGCAGCCTGAGGTGGGGCAGGGGAGCAAAGCATGGTAGAAGGATCCAGAAGGTATCCCTCGGGGCTCAGGAGACTCTTTGGTGGACTCTGTAGAGCAGATGTGGCATTGGGCTAAATCCCAAGACCCTTGCCCACGCTGGGGCCGTCGTCCTAAGCCCCACTACCCTGGCCTCCATCCAGGTAGGCCGCAAATGCTGTCTCTGTATTTCTTCTTTTGTTCTGTTTTGACTTTTAAAAAAATAAAAGCTTGATCGGAAAATATGTCTGGAACTCTATGGCGAGGGGAGGGAGAGGGTGGGAGGCGGTGGACAAGGAGCAAGAGGACTTGGATGGACAGGGTAGCTAGATGGCCTCAACGTAGTTGGCAGGATAGAGGCCCAGCTGCCCGCTGTCAAGCCGCCCGCGGCACCAGCCCTGCTCATCTTCTTCTCCCAGCTTGGTGAGCTCGTCTCCTGGGGAGGGGGACACGGGGGCACTTTGTTAAGATGGACAGGCACTCAGACCCGAACTGTCCCTTAGCCCAAAGCGGTTAAATGAACCCTCCAGAGCACCTCAGGGCTCCAACTTAATTACCTGGACTTCGATTCGGGGTTACACCCCACTCGACAACCAAGTGCTGCCCCGGACCCACTTCGGCCAGCTCCCGAGTCTCGGCCCCACCCTCCATGCCTAAGCCTCTGCCCTGGCTCCCTTACCTGCCAACCCTTGAAACACCAGTCTCCAAGCCTTGCACTGCCCAATCCAAGCCCAGTCTTCTCAGCTAGCCCCGCCCCCTCAGCCCTGCCCCCTTACCGGCCTTGAAGCTGAGTTCGTCCTGTTCCTGGCCGTCGTAGTCGTAGAGCGCCCGCACACGTACCCCCTTGGCGTCATCCTCGAAGGGGTTGGCGCCGCCGTTGGCCTCATTCCCCCCGAAGGGATTCCCGCTCTCATCGTCTGACCACTCGGCGGCGTACGGTTGGCCTCGGTCATAGCTGCTAACACTGGGGTGCAAATGGAAGTCGGTCGGGATCAGCGGTCTTGACCCCATCCTATCAATACTCTCTCCTAACCAGAACTCGGGTCCAAATTCTACCCTTAAAAGGCATTTTTTTTTCAAGGCAGGGTTTTTCTGCGTAGCGTGTCGCTTTAGAGCCTGTCCTGGAACTTGCTCTGTAGACCATGCTGGCCTCGAACTCACAGAGATCTGCCTACCTCTGCCCCTCAAGTGCTGGGACTAAAGGCGTGCACCACCACCGACCGACAAAATACACACATTTACACATTCCCAGGCCGGTCAGAGGTTTGAATCCATTAATGTGGGAGCGTGCCTAGAATACCCTGTACCTCACTCACAGCAGGGGTCTTGAAGGGTCACCCACCTGCTTCTCAGAGGATACATGGCAGCTATAGTCTGGGGTCACTTCTTGTCTTCTTGGATAAAATGTATCTGTCCAAGTATGTTGGCCTCTCTCTCCTACCCAGGAGCTCCATGGAAGGTACTCACCTGCCGCGGTCCCCAGCCTGGGATGTGGACTCTACAGCCCCTGTGGCATTGCTCAGTGTGGCCCCCTCTGCCTTCTTAGGCTGTTTCTCCTTCTTGGCAGTGGTGTGGGGGAGGTCTGGGTTCCACTCCTGGGGGTGGAGAGAAGTCAAGCCGAGGGGTGTGAGCTGGCAGGACCCTCCTAACCTGCTAAGGATCCCCCTTTGCCACCCTGCCCACTCTCACCTCGAACTGAGGCCAGTTCATAGGCATTCCAGGGCCACTGGTGCTGCGGAACCACCTGAGGTCCTCCTGGGCATCGGCTCCCCTGATGGCCTGCTCCAGTTCTCGGTAGACATGGGTGTAGCTGTGCAGGAGAGGGCCATAGGGTTCCCACCCCGTTCCAGGAGCAGAGCTCAGGCCTTTCCTCCAGCCCCAGCCAAATGCTTCCTGGGGAACAGCTCTGGCTCTCTCAGCCCCAGTGGCCTCGCTGTGGCCATGCACAGCCACCCAGGCTCATGTTTCTGGGGTAACTAGAGAGCACCGCCCCACCCCTGCAGCAGCTGCATCTGCAGACTCCCCCAATACTCCCTGTAAGTCCCGACAACCCCCCCCACCGCCTTCCATCACCAGACCTGGGACTCAGCCCGGGTACCTGCTGTTCTCCGCTAGATTGAGGTGCCGTTTGATATCCAGCAGGACTTCCTTGAGGAAGACCAGGCGCTTCTCCTCAAACTGCTGGCACTGCTCGAACACCTGCTCCATGCCCTCCATGTACTGGGGAGTGGTTTTGCCCACATCCTCCAGCACCTTCTCATACTTCTCCTGAGTCTGTGGGCACCAGGGCGGAAGATGGGGTGAGGCCTTACCAGACCTGCAGCTCCCAGCTGCCACCCTCAGGCACCCCCCACCTCCCCACAGGGACCCTTTACATGTCCTCCCGACAGGTACCTTTTGCACATCCTGCCTGCACTTGTCCACTTTGTCCAGAAGTTTCTTCTGCTGTTCGGGGGTGACTGACTGCTCCGTCTTACTGTTCATCTCCCGAGTCATGGCCAGCTTCTCCTCTTTGCAAGCCAGATGATAGGCCTTCTTGGCCGCCTCCAGCTGTGGAGAGAAGGCCAGGGTGGGTGTGCACGTGGTCACCCCCCACCAATACCTGCCTGCCCATCCCCCCTCCACTGTGGAGCTGCCCTTTTAAGAGGCAAGCCGCTGTTGGCTCTGGCTATGAGGCTTTATGTGATGCCCTCGTCTGCAGGAGCTGACCCACACGACACTGCTCACAGTCTCTGCAGACATGCCAGTCATGAGATCACATGACATTGTTCACAGTCTCTGCAGACATGCCAGTCATGGGACCACACGACTGCTCACAGTCTCTGTAGACATGCCTGTCATGGGATCTGCGGAGCCAGCTGGCTGTGTGCTGAGGGAAGCACACAGGGTGCTAGAGACCCCATGTGGACAGTTCTTTCTGCAGGCACTGTTGTCCTCTGTGAGTGCCCTCCCTCTCCACAGATGCCCTCCTGTGAAACGCCCCCTGCCCCGCCTGGCCTGTCTGAGGCACCTCCTTCATCTTCTTGGCCCAGGGCTTCTGGGCCTTGCGGAAGCCGTCCTCTGCCTCCTTGGTCTCCTTGAAGCCACCCATGATCTGCTTGTGGTAGGCGTCCTTCTGCCAGTTCTTGACTTTCTCCAGGTCCTCGTTCAGCAGGCTGTTCTTCACCTCCTGGTGCAGCTCGCTCACCTTATCTGCCTCGGTCATCATGGCGCCCCAGGCCCGCTCCAGGCTGCCGTACTGCGGACCTGGGGGAAAGTCAGGGAGCTACAGGGACCCCAGCACAAATTGCCTACAGTCCTCTCCGCCATCTCCCTTTCTCTGACGCTTCCCCTCTTCCAGTGGCAACAGAAACCCCTTCCTGCACTGTCCCCAAACTTTTATCCATCCTCTTATTTTATTTTATTTTTTTAAGTTTTTGACTTTTTGAGACTGGGTTTCTTTGTATAGTCCTGGCTGTTCTGGAACTCGCTCCATAGACCAGCTGGCCTTGAACTCACGGAGACCCACCTGCATCTGCTTTCCAAGTGCTGGGATTAAAGGTGTGTGCCACCCTGTCTAGTTTTTGTATGAGCCTTTTAAACTCCCTGATTATGACAGCTGAAGGATGGTGGCCTGAGCAACTGGTGTTCTTCGATATTTGGAGAGTTTGGGAATGGGGGTTAGGGTGATAGTGCTAACTTCCCAAAAACAGTTCAGAAAAAAATGTGCATGCTAATGGAGGAAAAGCCTGGGACAGATCTCAAATTTATGGCCAGCCTGGGCTACATGGCAAAGCCAATAAAAAGAAAAGGAAGAAGGAGGAAGAGGAGGAGAAGGGAGAGGAGGGAGCAGACACAAGAGAGAGGTGACAGAGGAGAGGGGGAGAGAGAGAAAAGCTAGGCATGGCCACTACACCCGGAATCTTCGATTTAGGAAGGTGGGGCAGAAACACCAGGCTTTCAGGGTCATTCTCAGCCACACAGGGGGTTGGAGGTCAGCCTGGGCTACAAGATTCTGTCTCAAAATGAAACAGAAAGTGCCAGTGAAATGTCAATGTTAGCTGGTGAAGCCGGCTAAGGGTACCAGGGCTTCTCTGCACTAGAAATGTGACTTTTTTGGAAGTTTCTTTCAAAAGAAAAACTCCTGATTGTGTGTGTGTGTGTGTGTGTGTGTGTGTGTGTGTGTGTTCACTCTCGAGTTGTACAAAGCAGGAGAATAAAGGGACACCCCGATTGTGAAAAGCCCTGTGGCTGGGATGCTGGTGCACTGGAGTCCCGCGGGTCCGGGGATGGGGCACCTTTCTCGATGAGCTGGCGCCAGCGCTTGGCCCAGTCGGTGAGCTGCTGCGCATAGGCTTTCTCGATCTTGGCGCGCTCCTGCACGCAGCTCATGAGGTCGTTGCACAGGCGGTGGCCATCGTCAATGCGTTTCACCGTCCGCTTGTAGTTCCCCACCTGGCGGCAGAGCAGCAAGTGACCGGGCAGCCCCTGTGCTCCTGGCTCTGGCCTGCAGGGGGCGCGGCGCCTCCTGCCATCCACCTCGCGGAGTCCCAGAACTCCACGTCAGACCCCACGGTCTCCACCTACCCTCCTCCTCCAAAACCTCCTTACTGCCATAAAAAGCAGAAGGGGTTTTATATAATTTGGACTTGGGCTAGAATGAATTATTCATTTTGCTCTTGTGAGCTAAATCTATTATATTTATACGAGTCATATAAGCGAGAGCGGAGCTACTGTTTCTTGACACAATATTATGTTTTGTGGACATCTCATTAAGCACTTATTAATCTAGGCCTGCCAGTTTCCTTTTTGGTTCCAAAGCCAAAAGCAATTTTTTTTTTTTTCTCCAAGGCTGAAATACTCTCAGAAGCCCCTGAAATGCTGGCTTATAGTCTTGCCTCTACCTCTGTGAGGTTGTTGGATCCCGGGGCTCACCCAGCTCTCGGGTTCAGAAGTCCACCCTCTGCCCACCACGCAGGGGGTAGAGCGGGAACAGCTAGGGAGGCTATGAGAACTGTGAAGCACAGCAGATGCTGGTGGGAAGGGCTGGAAATTGTCCAGTCCAGAGGGGCCTGGTCCCAGAGTGTGAACTGCTACAGGCAGCTGGGGCAGCGTCCAGGGAGCAACCGCAGGCCATGGCTAACCCTACTTTCAAGGCCTCAGCTGCCTGTTGGACACTGGGGATTCTGAAGAGGCCCAAGGAGTTGAGGTCACAGGTTGAGTCGGGGTACAGACAAGAGCCTAGACCTCTGCTCACCTCCCAAAAGCTGTCTGTGACCTCGTCCGAGGCTTCATCATAGGAGCCAGACATGGCGTAGCTGGGGGGAGCCGGGCAGGTGTGGATCGGCAGTCAGCAGGCTTCGTGCTCACAAGCTGCAAGGGAGAAGGCCACAGAGATGAGGGAAAAGGTTCATGTCCTAGTCCAGGCCTGTGTCTCTGACTCTTGCAAAGGTGCCCAGCGATGAGTCAAGGATAACCCCAGGATTCAGTCTGTAGTTTCTGGTGCCCATCTCCACGCCTGCCCCTCCTGCCTCCCGGGATTCTGCTGCGAGCCTCTCCTCAAAAGCCAACTCCCTGAGGAAGCCCTCTCTTCCAGCTTGTACATGCCTTCTCACATACCAGAGAGTGCCGGTTGGTTTCCTAGCTGGTGCCCCCCTCTCCTCAGCACCGCCTGACCCAGCTGGACCCTGACACTAGATCCTGGATTCCCCTGGCCCCAACACAGAGCCTCTGGTCTTGTCCCCTGGTGGTTCAGCTTCTGTCATGACAGGAGATCTTTTTCCCACATATATCCCGAGCTAAGGGTTCCCCTAATTTTTCCAGTTGGATCCTGCCCATCTTCTTTTGGCTGTCTAAGTCCTGCCTCGACAGCCCCACTAGCTTGGTTGCAGTCTCCCCCACACGGCTGAGCACTTGGTTCTCTGGCCCTGGGGTCACACTGTGATCTACACAATATCCCTGGCCTGTGTCTGCCCTGGATCTGTCATCAGGCATCACAGCCGACCAATCTAGGCCATACTCTGCCCCGGGGGCCAGGGGGCACACCCCTCCCCTCCTGGGCCTCGCTGTCACCCAGCTGAGAATGGTTCAATAATCAGGAAACAAGCCACAGAGGGCCAAGGGCTTAGCCTTCAAAGAGGCAGTCACGGCTTCTGGGCATTTCCTTGTCTGTGCAATGCAGCTATGGGCTTGAACCCTGACCCCTGAGGTCTCTGAGTGAGGGCTGGCCAGCACTGCAAGCTTCAGCTCCACCTGGGAGAAGCCACTGTCCCTCAGGCTCAGGGCAAGTGGTACCAACACGTGAGGATCCTTGGTGAAGGATGCCCCTCCCTCAGCCCCGTCTCTCTCGTTCTGGGCCTGGTGCCCCATTCCTGTGATGATCCAGTATGGCCTCCTAGTACCACCTGGGACTGAAGATCTGAACTGCCACAAGCCTCTTGGCCTCTGTGATGGGGGATGGGGTGGTACTGTGGAGGGACCCACTCCTCATGGCCTGGTCTCACAGGATGCATTCTCCCCCGCCATGCCACCGCTAGGAATTCCCCTTCAGAGCGCAAGCCAAGCATCCACAAGCTGGTTCGGTGCAACAGGATGGGTCAACACAAAGGCTGGGGGTGACCCAAGTCCATGCTGCTGGGGCACTGGCTAAGGGAATGACAGTGCAGACTTGCAGCTTGCACCTGTCCCAAGCCACACAGGCCAAGTGACGCGACACCACACAGAGCGGCCTGGCAGGAAAGGGGACTATATATATGGGACTATTTTAGAAAGACCAAGGAGCAAAGTGGGAAGGGTGGTCAGCTTCGGGGAAGCGTGGGACTGGGAGCGGGATGGAACGGGTCTCTCACACTGGATTCGCCTGAGCGTCTCACGCTTCTGCTTGTAATAAATTGAATTTCTTTTAAATCATGCGTGTGATTTTAAGAATCTCCGTGGGAGCATTCTCTTCATTTAGTGTTGACGTAGGAGGGCCCAGCCCGCTGTGGGCAGGACCACCCTGAGCAGTGGTCCTGGGTCCCATGAGGAAGCAGGACGAGCCAGTGGAAAGCAGCATTCCCAGTGTTCCGTGTTTCCTGCTTCTGCTCTTGTTGACCTCCTTCAGCCACCAAGAGTGATTGGGGTGTGTAAGTCACATGAACCCTTTCCTCCCCAGCTGTTTTCTGTTGTGGTGTCTGTTGTTACATTAACAGAAAGCCAACTAGGACACGTGGTGACCAGGGGTCAGGTTCTCAGGTCCGTGTGGGAGTGCTTTACCCACTGAGCCATATCCCCAGCCCACGAACCGTATTTCAGAAACAAAACTAAAGTCGTGTGTGTGGGGGGGGGGATGCGTGTGCACTCACATGTGTATGTGTGCATGTGTGTGTACGTGCGTGCACGCACGTGCGTGTGTATGGTGTATATGTGTGCATGTGCATGTATGTGTGTGTGTGGTGTGTGTGCGTGTGGTGTTTGTGCATGTCTGCGTGTGTGTGTGCATGTGGTGTGTGTGCATGTGTGCGTGTGTTTGCATGTCTGCACTTGTGTGTGCATGCATGTGTGCGTGTCTGTGTGTATTCGTGTGCACACGTGTGCGAGTGTGTGCATGGGGTGGGGTCTGGCTACTCTTCCAGAAGACCTGATGTCAATCCCAGCACCCACATGGTGGTTTACAACAAGCTAACTCTGGCCTCAGGGGATCCAATGCTCTTTTCTGGCCTCCAGAGGCACTGTATACAATGTGGTACACAGATGGACTTACAGGCAAAACACCCCTACACACTAAGTAAAAAAATTTTTAAAAAAGGTTGGACTGGGAGGTGGTGGCACACATCTTTAATCCCAGCACTCAGGAGGCAGAGACAGGTGGAGTTCTGTGAGTTCAAGGCCAGCCTGGTCTACAAAGAGAGTTCCAGCTAGGGCTGTTATACAGAGAAACCCTGTCTCAAAAAAGAAAAAGAAAGAAAGGAAGGAAGGAAGGAAGGGAGAAAAAAAGAAAGAAAGAAAGAAAGAGAGAAAGAAAGAAAGAGAGAGAGAGAAAGAAAAGTTAGGTGTGGTGGGTGGTGGTACAAACCTTTAATACTAGCACTCAGGAGGCAGGAGCATCCCTCTGAGTTTGAGGTCAGTTTAGTCTACACAGGACATCCAGCGCTACATAGTAAGACTTTGTCTCAACAACAATCAAAACCAATTCACCCTCTAGCCCTGGAGTAAGAATCAATGTCCTGGGAGCTTGGCTGAAGGTGTCCTCCCAGCATGCGGCAGGGACAGTGTGGCTAGGACCTGGAGTGTCAGGCCGAGAGTGCCTAGGCTCAGACAGCTTGGCTTGCAGGACTCTCCTGGGCTCCCAGCTGAGGTAGCATGTGGTACAAGAAAGGTCCAGTACCAACTTGCTCTGTCTCTGGGCAGTTATGTGGTCCCTCTAGGCCTTCTGGAAAATGACCTGACTTCAGAATTAGACGTGGGACTGGAGAGACAACCCAGTCGCTAGGAATGCTTGCTGCTCTTCCAGGGGACCTAAGTTTGGTTCCCAGCACCCACGTCAGGTGGCTCAGACTTCTGTAAGTCCAGGCACCAGACCCACACACAAATATGCACAATACACATGATTAAAAATAAAAAGTCTTGGGGGCTGGAGAGATGGCTCAGAGGTTAAGAGCACTGAGTGCTCTTCCAAAGGTCCTGAGTTCAATTCCCAGCAACCACATGGTGGCTCACAGCCATCTGTAATGAGGTCTGGTGCCCTCTTCTGACCAGCAAGCATACATACAGGCAGAACACGTATACTTAATAAATAAATCTTTAAAAAAAAAAAAAATATATATATATATATACAGAGAGAGAGAGAGAGAGAGCAGATTCTAGGCCCTCTGCATTCCTACCACTCTGGGTTGTACCCACATGGGATGTGCTTAGAAGGGAAGCAAGTTAGATGGTGGAAGGGGGGTGTCAAATGAGCCCCCAGTGCCCGCCCCCCACAGGCAGGAGGAGGTTCCCCTCCTACAAAAGGCCACGTTCTTCTTAATGACAGGGCTGTTTCTGTCAGGGGTCAGGAAGTGGGTGTGACTGGCATCTGGCACTTCCTGTGACACACCCAGCAGGCTCCTAGGCAAGGCAGAAGGTCACCACATCCGTTTCCCTATAGTCGTTCATCAGTATCAACAGGTGGCAATCACCAAGCCACAGGCTCAGGGAGGTCACTGTGAGGAGTCTGTGGGGGCCTGGGGAAGTATGACAGGGTGCCCGGGAACAGTCGTTCCAAGGTGACCAGTCACCCAGCAGGCTCAGGGAGGCCACTGTGACGAGTCTGCGGGGGCCTGGGGAAGTATGACAGGGTGCCCGGGAACAGTCGTTCCAAGGTGACCAGCCACCCAGCAGCTAGCACTGCTTCAGGCCATGAGGGTGACGGCAACAGCCAGTAAGCACGGGTGCTGTCCGTCCTGTGCTTGGGGATGGAGCAAGGACCAAGCAGGTGGGAGACTCTAGGGGCAGATGCCCACTTGGTGGGACTGAAAGGGCACACCGGCTGGCACATCCCTGGGCAGAGTGGAGGGGGCTCTGGTGGAGAGCGTGGTATGAGGGACGGACACAGGAAAAGGAGGCTTCCCCCCAGGGTGCACGGGCATCTACAGCCGGGGGTGGAGGACAGAGGAAAGATAATACTACTGGAGGCACTCCTGCCCAGCCACAGGGGAACCCCTGCTTCCCCAGTCCCCTGATGCTGGGGTTGAGATATATACCAGCAGCTCCCCACTTTCCTCTCTCTCTCAGCCTAACGGAAACCCTCTTCTCCCCCATCTCCTTCCAGCTGCTGGTCTGTGTCTCTTGGGAACCCTAACTAGCAGTCCCTGAAGGGAAAGAGCGCCTAGGATTGGGAGCCCAGAGTCCTGCTCCAAGTCCACTTTCTTTATTATATAGCACTTATTATTGTTGCTGCTGGCAGGTCTTACGTAGCTCAGGCTATCTCACATGTCTTATGTAGCCCAGGCTGCCTCACATTCACTATGTAGCAGATGATGATCTTGATTTTTTGATGCCCCTGCCTCCACCTCCCCAGTGATAGGATCACTGGGCTATCATGCCCAGTGTATACTGAACAGGACTTCTGCGTGCCGGCAAGAGCTCTCAGCTGAGCTGGAGCCCCAGCCACTGCTGTAGAAGCGGTGTTGGCATCAATCCTGGCGGTCACCAGCTCATATTTGCTGAGTGTCCACTCTGTGCTAGGTACTGGTCTCCATGCTTTACACATACCTCATCTACATCTAAAGATGGAGAAACTGAGGCACAAGGCAGATAAGATGGCACAGTCAGGGCCACAAGGTGGTGAATGTTGGAACTGGGTCCAACCCTGGCCACAGATACAGTCCCCACTACTCTTCCCGTCCCCTCCCCAG